TGTCCTTGTCTCTAGTCTTCCCCGGTCCCTCCCTCCCCTTCCTCCGGGGCCTGGCCCCACCTGCGTCCCCTGTGTCGAGGGGCGGCTGCGGGCTGCCCCTCACTCCTCTCAGTTTCCCCCAACAGAGGCCCCCCTGCAGACGCTTCACATGGACGTGTGGGGCCCGGCCCGCGTCCGTGGACAGGGTCACGAGCGCTACTTCGTGCTGGTGGTTGACGACTACTCGCGTTACACCACAGTCTTCCCCTTGCGCAGCAAGGGTGATGTCACTGAGGTGTTGATCGACTGGATCCGCGCAGCTTGTCTCTAGCTCAAGAGGAGCTTCGGCTCGGACTTTCCTGTTCTTCGTCTGCACTCTGACCGAGGCGGAGAGTTCTCCTCTGGCCTTCTGCAAGCCTACTGTCGTGCGCGAGGCATCCGCCAGACCTTCACGCTTCCAGGCTCTCCACAGCAAAATGGGATTGCTGAGCGCCGCATTGGCATGGTCATGGACGTCGCCCGTACGTCCATGATGCATGCGGCTGCCCCCCATTTTCTGTAACCGTTTGCGGTTCGGTACGCGGCGCATCAGATCAACCTTCACCCCAGGGTCTCAAGGCCGGAGACCTCCCCAGCCTTGCTGTGGACAGGGAAGGTCGGCGATGCGTCTTCGTTCCATGTCTGGGGATTTCGGGCGTTTGTCCGCGACTTGTCTGCGGACAAGCTGTCCCCTCGTGCTGCTCCTTGCGTCTTCCTTGGCTTCCCCCCTGACGCGCCTGGGTGGGAGTTCTACCACCCCACCTTTCGTCGTGTTCTGTCCTCCGAGGACGTCACGTTTGACGAGTCGGTCCCCTACTACCGCCTCTTCCCCTACCGCACTCCGTCCCTCCCCCCGCCACCGCTCTTCCTTGTGCTAGGTCCCCCCCCGGTAGACCCCCTCCCCCCTCAGGGTCCTGCCCCTTCAGGTGTGTCCCAGGTAGACGCAGTCGAGCCTGTCGAGGTTACTGGTGACTCTGGGGGTGCTGAGCGTGTGGGTGCTACGCCTGGGGGTGCTGAGCCTAAGGGTGCTACTACTGGGGGTGCTGAGTCTGGGGGTGCTGAGCCTGGGGGTGCTACGCCTGGGGGTGCTGAGCCTGGGGGTGCTGAGCCTGGGGGTGCTACGCGTGGAGGTACAGAGCCTGGGGGTGCGGAGCCTGAGGGAGCTGCGCCTGCTGGTGCTGTGCCTGGCGGTTCTCCGGGTGCTTCGTCGTGTCGAGAGCCACTGTCTCCACAGGAGCTGCGTGAGTGGTTTGCCCGGCGCTAGAGGCGAGCTGCTGGAGCTGGAGGTGCTGCGGGTACTGGAGTTTCTGTTGCTGCTGAGGGAGCTGGTGCCACGGCTCTCGGAGGTGCTCGTAGTGGGAGAACTGGAGCTGCTGGGCCTGCGGGTACTTCTGGAGCTGGAGCTGCTGCGGGTGTTGGCGCTGAGGCTCCTGCTGTTGGTCCTGGAGGTGGTCCTGCTGGGGGTACTACTGGTGCTGCTGGAGGTACTGGAGCTGGAGCTGCTACTAGTGCTGGTGCTGCCACTGGGGGTGCTGGTGCTGTCCCTGCTGTGTCTGGAGTCGCCGCGCGGCCTCGGCTGTACTTCGTTCCGCTCGTTCAGCAGGTTCTTGGTCTCCCGTCTTCTACTGGTCCTCCTCCTCCCTTAGAGTGTCCACAGCCTGTCCCGTCGCAGTTACAGTTACAGCCGGCCTCCCCACTGCCTGCTCCGTCTCCCTACACTGGTCCTACTGGAGGTCTTGCTGAGCGTCATGAGCCTGCGTCTCGCCCTGCGTCGCCTGTCCGTGCTGCTCGCACTAGTGGTCGCAGTTCGCGTCAGCGTCCTCCTCCTATCCCTGGCACGCACCGGATGTCTCTGCGTCCGTCCACTGCTCCTCTGCGTGCCCCTTTGCCTTCTCCTCCTGAGTCTTCTCTTCCTGCTCTTGCCGACCCGGAGTCGGACTCTCTTCGTGCTGCCTGTCCTACTGTCATGCGTCTCCTTGCTACTGTCGTCACTAACCCTTCTTTTAAGTCCACTGCTGCGTCTGCCCTAGTTGCTGAGCTCGTCGACTTTGCTGCTCGCTGTCGTCTAGACTACGCTGCTAGTCTTGTCGCTTAGTCTGAGTGTGTCTATCCTCCGTCCGTCGGGGGTGAGTGTGCCCTTGGCACGGACGTCCTTGAGGACAGGCAGGAGGAGTTCCAGTGTCTGGCTGCTGCTTCACCTCATCTCGTGTCCGTACTGCTTACCCCTGAGGGAGACCCGGATGCACTTGACATCCCGACTCCGCGCTCTTACGCGGAGGCCGTAGAGGGTCCCTACTCCTCTCAGTGGCAGGCAGCTATGGATGCAGAGATGGCTTCCTGGAAGTCCACAGGCACCTACCTTGACGCGGTTCCCCCACCTGGGGCGAACATCGTCAGTGGCATGTGGATCTTCAGGGTGAAGCGGCCGCCAGGTTCTCAACCTGTCTTCAAGGCGCGGTATGTGGCTCGTGGCTTCAGTCAGCGGCAGGGAGTTGACTACTTTCAGACCTTCTTTCCCACCCCGAAGATGACCACTCTTCGGGTGCTGCTGCACATAGCCGCTCAACGCGACTACGAGCTTCAGTCTCTTGACTTCAGCACTGCTTTCTTGCAGGGTAGCCTGCACGAGGAGATCTGGCTGCGCCGCCCACGTGGCTTCACTGGGACTTTTCCTCCTGGCACCCAGTGGAGCCTCCGGCGGCCAGTCTACGGTCTCCGCCAGGCACTGCGTGAGTGGCACGACACACTGAGGACTACACTTGCGGCTCTTGGGTTTGCTCCCTCTACCGCCGACCCGTCGCTGTTTCTGCGCACCGACACCTCTTTGCCGCCGTTCTACATCCTCGTGTACGTCGACGACTTGGTCTTTGCCACTGCTGACACTGCTGGACTCGCCCACGTGAAGTCTGAGCTGCAGAAGAGACACACGTGCACAGACCTGGGTGAACTGCGCAGCTACCTTGGCTTGCAGATCACCCGTGACAGAGCACGCCGCACCATTACCCTGACTCAGTCACACATGGTGCAGCAGGTCCTTCAGCGCTTCGGCTTCACGTACTCCTCGCCTCAGGCCACTCTTCTGCCTACTCGCCACTCGCTCTCAGCTCTGCCTTCGGATGAGTCCGTAGAGTCGAGTGGCCCGTACCCAGAGCTTGTTGGCTGCCTCATGTACCTGATGACCTGCACACGACCTGACCTTGCATACCCTCTTAGCATTCTTGCACGCTATGTTGCTCCTGGGAGACACAGACCGGAGCACATGGCTGCAGCGAAGAGGGTGTTGCGCTACTTGTGCAGTACGTCGGGCATGGGGCTAGTGCTTGGAGGGCAGAGTCCAGTGGTCCTCACTGGGCACGCAGACGCTTCTTGGGCTAACGACCAGGCTACACAGCGGTTGTCACAGGGTTACACCTTCAGCCTTGGTTCCGGCTCTGTTTCGTGGAGTGCTACTTGCTCGTCTTCCGTTCTCGGCTCCAGTTGTGAGGCTGAGATCTACGCAGGAGCCATGGCTGCTCAGGAGCTTCGCTGGCACACCTACCTGCTGACTGACCTCGGAGAGCCGCCTCGTTCTCCTCCAGTGCTGTACGTAGACAACAAGGCCATGCTGGCCTTGTGTCGAGAGCAGCGCGTGGAGCACAGAACGAAGCACATTGCTCTCCGCTACTTTCTTGCTCGTGAGCTGCAGCAGCGTGGTCAGTTGCGACTTGCGTACGTGGCCTCTGAGGCCAACACTGCTGATATCTTCACCAAGGCACTTGCGCCTTGTGATCATCAGCGCTTCTGTACTCAGCTTGGTCTTGTGCCTGCCTTGCCTCACTTGCTCACTTCTTGACCTTGCTTGTACTGTCACATATATATACTCCTGCACTTGCTTGTTTAGCCTTTTATATATATATGTGTGCTCCTGCATGTGAACTGGCCTTCTGGCCTTGAACTTGTGCTCGGAATGTGTGGTGACTGTGTGATCCACCCTGAGCTTTGCTTTGTTCTGCTTGATTGGTCTTGTGACCCCTTGTTCTCCCCCAATTTGCCTTTGGGGGTGTGTCATATCATAATGTTCTGTAGGCTGTAGTGGGGTAGCCTATATGGGGTACACATTTCTAGGGTTGCATATTTGTACCACATTCCATTCCTTAGTGCACTCATTCTCGTTTCAATTCTCACAGGCCCCTCACGCCGCCCTTACGGCCCTCGCGCGGCCCCCTTTCGGCCCCTCGCGGCGCCCTTTCCGGCCCCTTACGGCCCCGTCGCCGCCCCGTTCAGGCCCCTTGCGGCCCCTCTTCGGCCCCTTGCGGCCCCTCTGTGGCCCTGTCTAGGCCCCTTGCGGCCCCTCTGCGGCCCCTCTGAGACCCCGTCGCCGCCACCTGCGGCCCCGTCTCCGCCGCCTGCGGCCCCGTTGCCGTCACCTGCGGCCCCGTCGCCGCCACCTGCGGCCCCGTCGCCGCCACCTGCGGCCCCGTCGCCGCCACCTAAGACTCCGTCGCCGCCAAATGCGGCCACGCAACCGCCACTTGCGGCCCCGCCGCCACCTGCGGCCTCGTCGCCGCAACCTGCGGCCCCGTCGCCGCCACCTGCGGCCCCGTGGCCGTCACCTGCGGCCCCGTTGCCCTCCCCTCGCGGCCACGTCGCCGCCTCTACCGCCCAGCGACCGATCCGCCGAACGGCCCTGCAGCCGAGCTGCCCACCAGCCGAGCCGCCGAGCTGCCCACTTGCCGAGCCGCCCAGCAGCCGAGCCGCCCACCTGCCGAGCAGCCGAGCCGCCCAGCCGTCGAGCCGCCCAGTTGCCGAGCCGACGAGCAGCCGAGCCGCCAACCAGCCGAGCCGCCGAGCCGCCCAGCAGCCGAGTCGCCCAGCAGCCGAGCCCCCCTGCCGCCGGGTCGCCGAGCCGACGAGCCACCCTACTGTCGAACCGTTGCTGTTCCTACCGGTGCGCCCCGGCCCTCCTTCCTCGGACTCGTGAGCTCACTCCCTACTAGGCCGACATGTCCTTACTTTTGATGCTGAGGGCCGTGCCATTGACATTGAGGTTTGGGTCGATGACCTTCAGCTGTTCCTCCAGTGCGATAGGGCAGACGGCCTCTCTCTGTTCGACCTTACCTCTGGTGCCTCCCCTGCCCCGCCTGCTACTGCTGACAGCACTGTTCGCTCACAGTGGGCGACATGCGATGCTTCTGCTCGTCTTGCTGTGCGTCGCCACTTACCGACCACTGAGCGTGCACACTTTAGCCAGTACAAGAGTGCTCAGACCTTGTACCACGCTGTAGTTGCACGCTACTCTTCCCCTGCCACTGCTGCACTGAGCCGCCTCATGCTACCGTACCTCTTCCCTGACCTTACCGCCTTTCCCACAGTCGCAAACCTCATTACGCACCTCCGCACTAGTGACACTCGCTACCGCGCTGTGCTTCCTGCTGAGTTCTGCGCCCAGAACCCCCCCCCCCATGTACATCACCCTCTACTACATAGTCACCCGGCTCCCTGACTCTCTCCGCGTAGTCGGGGACCACTTCCTCTCAGTTTGCCCCACCACTCTCACCGTTGACCTCCTCGAGAAGGGCCTCCTCGCAGCGGAGAAGAGAAGAGTTGCTGTAGGAGCCTCTCAAGGTGACCCTCGCAAACCCCCGTCTTTGAGGGGTGTTCTCCCTCCCCCCTCTTGCCCTCTGTTGCCTCTGCTGCTGCGGCCGACCTCGTTGGTTTCGAGTCGGTCGGCGTTGCGTCTGCCCCGAGCGGGAGACGCCGCACCGGCAAGGGCAAGGGGGGCAAGGGCGCTGGAGGGGCTGGCGGGGGCGGTGGAGGTGGTGGTGGAGGCAGTGGAGGGGGTGGGGGTGGTGGTGGGAGTGGTGGTGGGGGTGGAGGTGTCGGTGGCAGCAGTGGAGGCGGAGGAGGCGGCGGCGGTGGCGGAGGGAGCAGAGGCGGCGGAGGCGGTGGAGGCGGTGGAGGCGGCGGAGGTGGCGGAGGCGGCGGCGGCAGCAGTGGACCTGGTCGCGGCTCTGCGCAGAGGAGTGGCTCCGGTGGTGGTACGCGCCAGCAGCAGCAGAGCAGTCGTGAGACCCTGTCCCCTCAGCAGCTTCGTGAGTGGTACGCTGCGCGTCAGCGCGGTGGGGGTACGGGTCCCTGCACCTACGTTCTCCGCACCGGCGACCGCGCTGGTGAGCAGTGCGGGGGCCCGCACTCCACCCAGCGCTGCTTCGGCCGCCTGACGAACGCGTGGCGTCACCAATTCCCTGGGGCCTCTGAGATCCCTCGCTGGGGAGAGCTGTCTAGGGCGGGGGTTGCTATCTTTGATATTGATTTTGATGCTATTCTTGCTGCCATGTATGTTGTTGATGATAGTGTTGCGGGTGACTGTTACCTGTGTGTACCGCCTGACCCGGGTGTCAAATTATAATATTGTGTAGGCTATAGTGGGGTAGTCTATATGGGGTACACATTTCTAGGGTTGCATATTTGTATCACTTCCATTCCTTAGTCAACTCATTCTCGTTCTACTTTTCTCATGGTATCGAGCAGGTTCCCCCTTGGGAACTGTGCCTAGGGCCCACCACATCGAGTTTCACTTTTTTTTTTCTCCTGCCCGAAGCGCGCTCCGCCCGAGTCGCGCTCCGGGCTCTCACCTCGCCCTAGCGGCCCTATCGCCCTAGCGGCCCCTTCCCCTAGCGGCCCCGCTGCCTGTCGATTCGGCCCCGCCGCCCTTTCGTGCGGCCCCGCCGCCCGTCTTAGCGGCCTCGCCGCCCTTCTGAGCGGCCTCGTCGCCCCGCATTGCGGCCCCGCTGCCCATCTCCGCGGCCCCGCCGCCCGTCTCCGCGGCCTCGCCGCCCCTCGCTGCGGCCCCGCCGCCCTACTCAGCGGCCCCGCCGCCCTACTCAGCGGCCCCGCCGCCCTTCTCCTCAGCGGCCCCGCCGCCCTACTCAGCGGCCCCGCCGCCCTTCTACTCAGCGGCCCCGCTGCCCTTCTCCTCAGTGGCCCCGCCGCCCTACTCAGCGGCCCCGCTGCCCTTCTCCTCAGCGACCCCGCCGCCCTACTCAGTGGCCCCGCCGCCCTACTCAGCGGCCCTGCCGCCCTTCGGCAGCGGCTCCGCCGCCCTTCTCAGCGGCCCAGCCGCCCCTCGCACCAGCGGCCCTGCCGCCCTACACCGCCCGCGCCGCCCGAGCCGCCCGAACCGCCCGAGCCTCCCGAGCCGCCCGACCTGCCCGAGCTGCCCGAGCCGCCCGAGCCGCTCGACTCTCCTGAGCCGCCCGAGCCGCCCGACCAGCGCGAGCCGCTCGAGCCGCCCGAGCCGCCCGAGCCACCCGAGCCGCCTGAGCCGCCCGAGCCGCCTGAGGAGCCGAGCCGCTGGTGCCACGGAGCCGCAGTTGCTGCTGTGCCGTCCGAGCAGTCGTGTTGTCGTGCTGCTGTACCGCTGAGCTGCCCGACCCGCCCTGCCTGGTGAGAGCAGCGCTTCTGTCACTGCACTGCCCCTGTCCTACAGTTGGTACTGCTAGTCTACTGCTGTCATGGCTACCCCCAGTGTTCTCGCTTTTGACGCTGAGGGTCGAGCCATTGACTTTGAGGTTTGGGTGGATGACCTGCAGCTTTTCCTATAGTGCGATAGGGCAGACGGTATTTCCCTCTTTGACCTCACCTCTGGTGCTTCCCCTGCCCCTGCTGCCGATGCCAACGCCACTGTTCGCTCCCAGTGGGCCACTCGCGATGCTGCTGCACGTCATGCTGTGCGTCGCCACCTGCCTACCACTGAGCGCGCGCACTTTAGTCAGTACAAGAGTGCTCAGACCTTCTACGACGCTGTAGCTGCACGCTACTCTTCCCCTGCCACTGCTGCACTGAGCCGCCTCATGCTACCGTACCTCTTTCTTGACCTTGCTGCCTTTCCCACAGTCGCTGACCTCATTACGCACCTCCGCACTAGTGACACTCGCTACCGCGCCGCGCTTCCTGCTGAGTTCTGCGCCAAGAACCCCCCCCCCCCATGTACATCACTCTCTATTATATAGTCACCCGCCTCCCCGACTCCCTTCGAGTAGTCAGGGACCACTTCCTCTCAGTCTGTCCCACCACTCTCACTGTTGACCTCCTAGAGAAGGCCCTCCTAGCAGCGGAGAAGAGCATAGTCGCTGTAGGAGCCTCTCGTGGTGATCCTCGCACCCCCATCTTTGAGGGGTGTTCCCCTTCCCCCCTGTTGCCCTCTGTCGCCTCTACTGCTGCGGCCGACCTCTTTGGTCTTGAGTCGGTCGGTGCGGCGTCTGCCCCTAGCGGGAGACGCCGCTCTGGCAAGGGCAAGGGGGGCAAGGGCGCGGGTGGAGCTAGCGGGGGTGGTGGAGGTGGCGGTGGAGGCGGCGGAGGTAGTGGGGGTGGCGGTGGGAGTGGTGGCGGGGGTGGAGGTGGCGGTGGCAGCAGCGGAGGCGGAGGCGGCGGTGGCGGTAGCGGTGGGAGCGAAGGCGGCGGTGGTGGCGGAGGTGGAGGCGGCGGTGGTGGAGGAGGTGGAGCTGGTCGGGGTGGTGCTTCGCAGCGGAGCGGCTCCAGGGGTGGTCAGCGCCAGCTGCAGCAGCAGCAGCAGCGTTCTCGGGACATCCTCCCTCCTCAGCAGCTCCGTGAGTGGTACACGCAGCGTCAGCGTGATGGGGGTTTTGCCCCGTGCACCTACGTCCTTCGCTCCAGCGACCGCGCGGGTGAGCAGTGTGGGGGTGCTCACCCCACCCAGCGCTGCTTTGGCCGCCTGACAGACGCTTGGCGTCAGCAGTTCCCAGAGGCTAGTGAGATCCCCCGCTGGGGAGAGCTGTCTAGGGCAGGCGTAGCTATCTTTGATCTTGACTTTGATGCTATCCTTGCTGCCATGTATGCTCTGACTATTAGTGATGAGGGTGACTGTTACCGGTGTTTCCCGCCCGACCCGGGCATTGGTACTGCTGCTCTAGGTGCTGGTGAGGCTGCTGTCAGAGTATTATAGCTGATGCATGTTTGTAGGCTATAGTGGGGTAGCACATATGGGGTACAGGGTTTCTAGGGTTGTATTTGTACCCAACCTTTCCTTAGTCATTTTCATTCCTGTTTATTCTTTTCACATGGTATAGAGCGGGTCCCTCCTAAGGACCGGTTTTTTTTTGAAGGGCCCACCCACGATTTTTTTTTCCTGCCCGGAGCGCGCCCTATTCTCCCCGAGGCGCGCTACCCCCTAGCGCTTGTCGCGCTGCCCTTGTGGCGCCCCGAGAGTCGCGCGCGCGACTCCTTTTTTTTCGCGCGCGCGGCCCGGGCTCCACGTAGCGCTGGCCTTACGGCCGCGCCGCGCCGCCCTCTCGGCTCTGCCGCGCCGCGCCGCCCTCACGCCGGCCGCGCGGCCTCTTCGTCGCTGCAGCGGGCCCCGTCACCTGACGGCCCCGCCGTCCTACTCCCGGCCCCGCCGCTGCACCCTGCCGGCCCCGCCGCTGCACCTCTTTCGGCCCCGCCGCTGCACCCTAAAGGCCCCGCCGTCCCCTGTCACGGCCCCGCCGCTGCACCCTGACGGCCCCGCCACTGCACCAGTCGGCCCCGCCGCTGCACCCTGACGGCCCCGCCGTCCCCTGTCCCGGCCCCGCCGCTGCACCCTGCCGGCCCCGCCGCTGCACCCTGACGGCCCTGCCGCTGCACCCTGACGGCCCAGCCGTCCCCTGTCCCGGCCCCGCCGCTGCACCCTGCCGGCCCCGCCGCTGCACCCTGACGGCCCCGCCGTCCCCTGTCACGGCCCCGCCGCTGCACCTTGCCGGCCCCGCCGCTGCACCCTGACGGCCTCGCCGTCCCCTGTCCCGGCCCCGTTCTGCACCCGAGCCGCCCTGCCGCCGAGCCGCCCGGGAGCCGAGCCGCCCTGCACCCGAGCCGCCCTGTCGCCGAGCAGCCCGGGAGCCGAGCCGCCCTACACCCGAGCCGCCCTGCCGCCGAGCAGCCCGGGAGCCGAGCCGCCCTGCACCCGAGCCGCCCTGCCGCCGAGCCGCCCTGCCGCCGAGCCGCCCGGGCGCCGAGCCGCCCTGCACCCGAGCCGCCCTGCCGCCGAGCCGCCCGGGAGCCGAGCCGCCCAGCAGCTGAGTCGCTGAGTCGCCGAGCAGCCCTTCTGCAGAGTTTCCCGGCCTGCCCTGCCTGGTGAGCACAGTCGCACTGTCACTGCGTGCTCTTCCCCTACTGCTTGCACTGCTTCGCTGTCGTCGTCATGGCTACCCCTAGTGTCCTAGCTTTTGACGCTGAGGGTCGTGCCATTGATTTTGAGGTCTGGTTAGACAACCTGCAGCTGTTCTTACAGTGCGACAGGGCTGACAGCCTTTCTCTCTTTGACCTCACCTCTGGCGCCTCTCCTGCTCCTGCTGCTGATGCTGATCCCACTCTCCGCTCTCAGTGGGCCACCCGCGATGCTGCTGCACGTCTTGCTGTGCGTCGCCACCTCCCTACCTCTGAGCGTGCGCACTTTAGTCAGTACAAGAGTGCTCAGACCTTGTACGACGCTGTAGTTGCGCGCTACTCCTCCCCTGCCACTGCTGCACTGAGCCGTCTCATGCTTCCCTACCTCTTTCCTAACCTCTCTGCCTTTCCCACTGTCGCTGACCTCATTACGCACCTCCGCACTAGCGACACTCGCTACCGCGCCGCCCCTCCTGCTGAGTTCTGCGCTAAGAACCCACCCCCCATGTACATCGCTCTCTACTACGTAGTTGCGCGCCTCCCTGACTCCCTTCGCGTCGTCAGGGACCACTTTCTCGCAGTCTGTCCCACCACCCTCACCGTCGACCTCCTCGAGAAGGCCCTCCTCGCAGCGGAGAAGAGCATAGTCGCTGTAGGTGCTTCTCGTGGTGACCCTCGCACCCCCATCTTTGAGGGGTGCTCTCCTTCCCCCTTGCTGCCTTCTGTTGCCTCTGCTGCTGCTGCCGACCTGCTTGGTCTTGAGTCGGTCGGCGCGGCGTCTACCCCTAGTGGGTGACGTCGCTCCAGCAAGGGCAAGGGGGGCAAGGGCGCGGGTGGAGCTGGAGGAAGCGGTGGCGGTGGCAGCGGTGGCGGCGGAGGGAGTGGGGGTGGCGGCGGGACTAGTGGCGGGGGTGGTGGCAGCAGCGGCGGAGACGGTGGTGGTGGTGCCAGCCGTGGTGGTGGAGGCAGCGGCGGGGGTGGAGGCGGCGGAGGTGGAGGGGGTGGAGGCGGCAGCGGAGGAGGCGGTGGTGGTGGAGGAGGTGGAGCTGGTCGGGGTGGT